TTATCTACTACAACTCTGATTTTTTAACAATCTGTAAGACTTACAACTTTTAATGAATACCTTTATCAACTAATTTTGGTCTTTCCTTCCATACCGCATACCTACATCAATGTTAATGTTTGCACTAATGTGAACGCAAAAAGCATATAAAAGCATAATTCAGAAGGAAACGCAAAGAAACTATTTAAGAAGCCGTAACATTAGTAAGAAAACACTAAAAAGCATAAAAACGCATAATCAGCGCATGCAAGTTTTTGAGAGCTATATGCGCGCAAGGCGCGTCGCAGCGTAACAGTATCTCGTGAGATATCGCGGAGCCCAAGGCGAAGCCTGTTACGCGAGACGTTGTTTGGCGTTCATACAGGTAGTAGTTTGAGAAGCTTTCCATTTCGTAGCCAGTCAGTCCCAAAAACAATTTTAGAAGAGGAATAGACGTTTTATCCATAGCGGATATTCGTACAGTCCCCCAAATATCGCTAGTTTTGTCCAGCGACAACCTCTTCAGTGTGGTCAATATTTGAAATTATGGCCACGGTGTTTGATGCATAGTTGTCATAAAAATCAAACACCGTGGCCAGAATTTTGATTACAATTAAGAGTTTGTCGCTGGAAACTATTAGCGTGCGGCGTTGCCACATCGTTTAGATACAAGGTCTATATCTTTTAACTTCATGAAGAGAAGTATTTGTAGCATTACCAATCTGAGGAAGATATCTGCTGCACTGTCTCTGACCATTTTTAATTTGAGGTTGAACAGAAAAAGCAATACAGGTCTTCTTAAATACAAGGGAAAATTCATTCGAGGAAATTTGTTCGAAAACAGGCAGCTATATAGCAGCTACTTGTCGGACGTCCAACGCTAGTAGTTAAATAGAAGGGAAAATTCATTGGAGGACGGGCAGCCACCAAATTCCTACATTCTGTTGGTACCACTGTTAACCCGCGCCTGCGCCCCTCTGGACTGCCCATTGTTGTTGTCAACCGAGCCCTCCGCCGTCCGCCCGAGTGCCTCACCGGTGCGTAGCCTCGCAGGAGACGGCACTCGGTCCCCTTTCTGGGCAGGACCACGCCGAGCAGAAGGCATTTTTGGAGAAGCGTGGAAACTGTGATCTAAGCAACGGTAGATAAAGAAAGCCTGATATTTTGAATCGGGCGTAGTCTTTGATCCATGAGCAATGTTTTAAAAACCCCAGCCGGCCCGATCAATGTCAGGACTCGCCGTAAACGTAAGTTATTTTGTCGTGTTCAAAGTCCGTATATTTATTTAATTTTCCGGACAACCAGACTCGAGCGCCAACAAATTGAAAGTGTTACGGATTATGCTCAAAAAGCCCTTTCCAATGGTATAGAAGAGTGACTCATCGGCTCTGAGTCACTGTTCTATACAATTACCGATTTTTTTGTTATGTAGGCACTAGAAACCAGCACATCATCCAGATGTGTTTTCCGTTGTGCCACAGGACATTTGGGCCACCAAGTTGTTGTTTTTTCAACACGTCTTTATTAACAATTTGCGTTAACAAAGTTGAGGCACAGAGAGGCAGGGGCTGGATTGTGAGGGCTATGTGGAGGATGTGGCTCCTGAATTATAATATGTGTGGTATGTACAGTTAATGATGAAAGGTCCCAACATCGACATATATGCAAACACCTAGTAATGAAAATTTATTGCCATTCAATTGCTGAGGTGGTCCATTAAGCAACAGAAGGTCATGAGGATGTGGCTGTTTTTCCTCTTCCTCAGCAAGAAGGCCTTGGGCATCCTTCACTGTGCCAATTGGATCTGCCGAGTGCGCTTAAAGACCCCAGCTTTTGAGAGCATGTTTGATCTTCTCCACCTGTGTTTTATGAGCTGGACTGCAAGTTCTTTTTGCTGTTGATAGAGAAGATCAGGCAGGATGTTGCCCACATTGAAACCAGGACCAGTCAGCACCAGTCTGACACAACTCCACAATGTCACACAACACACTTTACCGGTGAAAGATTCTTCGCCATGTACTATTAAAAATAGACTGGCATTTGATGAAGGTGGGTACTAAAATTGCAGATGGATAGGATGGTGATTGTGGGACGAAAAGTACATCACTATTACTTTCTGTTGTTGTTAGATTGTGGACACACGCTGCACAGTCCATTGAAATCAATTTTTTCAAAGCGCCAAGCAAGAGCCAAGCTGAACCCTGTGCCTACAGTGGAACAGCACGTTGGTCTTCATCATTTATAACATTTATTTCCTCGGACGAGGGAGGGCTCTGCACTCACCCCACTTTGCTCTGAGCTTCTTCCTTCAAGCAGAGTACGAAGGTCACTAAGAAGGAATGAATCGTCATCAGCACAGTTTTGATCTCTGGCTTTGCCAGAGAAGCGGGTGATGAGGCATGGTTTGAGAGCTGCTGTGAATTGAGTAGTAGTCACATCAGTGCTGGAGCCACAGCACTGACGTATGCAGCAGAACAAGTTCTCAAGTGCATCTTGATTAAGATTGCGCAGTCTCAATACAGTAACTTTTTCTCTCCGAAGTTGCTGCCATATCCACTGCATACCCCTCACAGACTCAATCCACCCCTTGACGCATGGAGGAACATGACGAGTACCGTTGGACTTTGGAATGTAGACCCAGTTTTGCAGTGTTTTGATCATTTCAGGCCACTTTTTATGATGTATGGATTTTTCAGTAACATTAACTCTGTTCTCTTTCACTGTTTCAGACCTTTTATCACTGGGTACATTTGTCAAATCAAAGCAGGTGTCCACATATTCTAAAAATTCAGCAGTGACCAGGCAATTTGGAAGTTGTACGCCACCAGACACCGTAAAAAAGTCGTCATCCCCCTTGCCACCCTGGAGCTTAGAGTTTGTACAGCGTACTTCACACGCATCTTGTACTTGCCCTGGGGATGCAAATGTTTAACAGTGAGGGGTGACATCTGGAACAAGGACTCATCCAATTTGAAATATTCAATTATGTGACGAAAGTTGGCAATCTTTCCTGGGGCATACTCAAGATTACTGGACAGAAAGTTGTTCCGAATATTTTTAAAGATGTGAGGAATATCGTAGATGTGGACAAGCTTTAAGTCAACAACTGTATAAAAGAGATCATCATCTGTTACAGAGGAAGAGGACTTCAGCTCTGACACAGCTCCTCGATTGGTGGGCCCCTGGTCCGATACACTGTCCAACACATTGAGACCTATCTCAGAAAGAGATTTTACCACATCTGTGATAAGGATCGTCAACATGTGCGAAGGGCAGGTCTTATGCACCAGGTAATAGGCTAAAGGCTGGGTCCACTTGTGTGTCCCCAGGCCTTGTTTTGTTTTAGTCAGGTGTAGTGCATGATTTCTCAGATGCATTATCTGTTGCCCCACAGGACATCTGGGCTATTAAGTGGAAGAAAATTCCACAGACTAGATAAATTGTGCACAACTGTACAGTAGAGATATGGTTGGTATAGGATTAATGTACTCTTATATTATTGAACTTACTTATTGGGTTTTTTATTTTTATTTTTGACAACTTATCCTCTGGGGCATACTCCTGCAGGTCAAAACACTCATCCTCCACAATTCGTTTTCTTTTTTCTGCAACAAGTGAGTTCGAGATCTAGAACAACACGGCTCAAAGCAATGGTAACAAAAGTTATCTTCAACTTTTGCAACATTACCAGGGCTTGTAGCAGCAGGTTGCACAGTTTCTGTAGTGAAGGTGAATCCTGGAGATTTTTGAATGGAGATGGTGGATGGAGATGGAGGAAGATGAATTATGGGTCTCTTTGGAGATGAAATGAATGTGGTGGTGTTCTGTGCACTGGTGGAAGTTTTGATGTGGATGGCTGAGGTGAGGAGACTGAAGCAAAAGCCCCAAATTTAAAAGGCATGTTAAGAGTGGTGTTTCTAGCAAACGAAAATCCTAGACATGGAAAAGCAAAAGCTCCATGTTATAGTGTGTTGAAGTCAGTAAAGAAATTTACGTAAGGACCCATATGGTAAAAAAACATATTGAATGAACTGCCATGTAACCACATTTTATTTATCTATTATTTTTGCTTTTAGGCTCTGCTAAATAGATGCAATATCTGTTGCCCCACAGGACATCTGGGCCACCAAGTTGAGGCAAGCTCCAGAAGGAAGATTAATTGTGCATCTTAAAAGCTGCTATATATCGTAGCATGGCAGCATCAATGAAGGTCCACATTATTTTTTTTAGGTGTACACAGCTTATCATTTTTACCTGCAGCACAGTACCATGGAGCTCCTCTCATCACCTCATCAGAAAGGCCGCTTTCACGAAGAAATGTCCACCAAAAAAATGTCCACCGACACTTGGTCCCCCCACTTAAAATGTCCTTGAGTTAATCAGGGCCAATAACATAAAATGGCAAATGAAATAAGGGCCAACGTAGTTCATACTTTATTGTCCAAGTCACTCATGGATTTTAATATTGTACGCAACAGCCTCTAGGTAGCGCATGACCTCATCCCTCTCCTTGTAGTCTTCGAAGCTGTTGGCCAGGTTATGCAGTCGCCGCTGGCACATCTTGTTGGCACTTCTTGTTGGTCGGCTGCTTGATGTTGATGTGCCCCGCGCGCAGCTGGGCGAGTAGCTGGCGGAAGTCGTGCTCCTCGTCGATCACCTCGTCCAGGAACTTCCAGATGTTGGCGTGGTGCACGACGAGGAGCTTCTGGAACTTGGAGTGCCAGCCTTCCACGACGTTGTTGGTCCTCGCTTGGTCGTCCACGGCCTGCTGGTGGACGTTCCACAGCGCAGGAGGGAAGCGGGGAGGCACTGCTCGGCGACGGCGCAAGGTAGCACCCCGGAGGTAGGTGCTCTCCATTGTCGTCGCCAGAGGCACGACCCGGTCGTCCATCGCGTCGACCACGGCGTCGAAGGTCGCGTCCAGCTCCGGGATGGGGACGAAGGGGAGCGCCATCAGGCGCTGCACGTCCCTGCGC